AAAGGTACCTGGGTTCAAATCCTTTTTCTGCCATTTACTATCTGAGTGACCCTGAGAAAGTCACTTAATGTCTCTCAGCCTCAGTTTCTTCATCCATAAAATGAGAAATTTGGACTGGCTGATCTCTAAACTGTAGCTCTAAACCTATGATGCTATGATCTTATGGTTACCACTGTATCCAGTGAAGAGAATGATATGCTAGGTTAATAGAAATAGAAATAATAGCTGATATTTCCAATAGTACTTAAAAGTTTGAAAAGTATTTTGCATACATTGCCCCATGTGATTCTCACAAGCATTCTGTAAAGTATTACAGATATTATTATCCTTAATTTACAAAGAAGTGAAGTGACCTGCCCAAGTACAGAGAGCACAGGACAGGCAGTCAGGAGACCAAAGTTCTAGGGTCATTTCTGCAATGAATTTTCTGTGTGGCTTTGAACAAAGTATTTTCCCTCTTTGGGCCTTAGTCTCCCCAATTGTAAGACGAGGGAGCTAAATGAGATGATCTCTAAGGTCTTTTCCATTCAAAAAAGCATAACTATGATTGTATCATGTGTGAAAAAGCATGATATAAAACAGGGGTGGGGAACCTGTGGCCTCGAGGCCACATGTGGATGGAGAATAAAAAAGAAATAGAAGACAAAAATCTTGACCTCAAGTAGTTAAATAAACACACACATATCTAAGGATCACTTTGTGGAGCAATACCTCATAAACAAACTGACAAAGTAGAGACTGGGTCCCCCAGTGCTGAGGTACGAAATTCACATGAGTGATAAAAACCAGACTACTACTGGATAACGCATGGACTTGGGTACAAATCCTGCCTCAGGCATTTACTAGCTGTGTAACTCTGAGGCAAGTTATTTAACCTCTCTTTGCCGCAGTTTCCTCATCTGCAAAATGAGGGAGTGGTCTTTGAGGTCCCTTCCAGCTCTAAATCTATGGTTCCATGACCCAGAGCAGTGTTTGTCTGATGATTTTCAAATAATAGTAGTTGACATTCTGTCCTTCTGTCTTATAGAAAGAAAGTTATAAACACCTGATCTCTCTGTGCTATTTCATAACCCTTCATTAGTACAGAAAGATAGCTGTGATGTGATGAAAACAATATAGGATAGTCAAGGGACCTGGGTCTGGGTTTGGCTCTGCTATCTACTTATTGTGATCTTAAGCAAGTCACTTTGCTGCTCAGACTCAGTTTCCTCAACTGCAAAATGGGCAGCTAGCTGGAGCAGTGGATAGAGTGCTAGGCCTCGAGTCAAGAAGATTCATATTCCTGAGTTCAAACTTGGCCTCAGATACTTACTAGCTATATGACCCTGGGTAAGTCACTTAACCTTATTTGCCTCAATTTCCTTATCTGTAAAATGAGCTAGAGAAGGAAATGGCAAACTGCTCCAATATCTTGGCCAAGAAAACCCAAAATGGGGTCAGGAAGAGTCAGGCATGACTGAGAGGACTGAACAACAACAACAACAAAAATGGGACGAATAATATCAGAACAATCAGTCTTATCGATTAGACAAACTATCTTAAAAGCTGAGAACTTAAATAAAAAGGGAAAGATTAAAATCCTTTCTTCAGCCTAACTTGTGAGATTGCCTCCTTTGAGAATACAGGATCATGGCTAGGCAGTCTGACTATCTGTTGGAAACTGGAGAGGCATTATAGTGAAGGCAAAATCAATGCTTAATAATTGGGGTGAACTTTCTTTAGAGACCTTCAGTAAAGCCCACACCACAATAAATTGCTGGAAGGCTAGTCCTTTCACTACCAATTTAAGGTTAACATTTGATGATGTTCATCAAATCTGACAGAATTTTGGTAAATGACTGCATTGTCTACTAGTCTGCTGTCCACCCAAGTATTACAAGGCTATAGTGACCATAAATCTTAACCCATTGACAGCAGGAGAAGGCTCTAACACATAGATGGGATGCAATGTCAAGTAGAAGCAGAAGTGCATATACAATCAGCTACAACACCTCTGCAGGACCAGGAGTCGGATGGGTCCAAAGCCCCACCACATCTTGCCTGAGATTGGGCATCCTGATCTTTGTGTCTGCATCAAGAAAACAGGAAATGAACCGTGTGCAGGCGTTGAGAAATGAGGCACCATGGGAAATGGCTATAAAAGAAAGGCTGATCTTAAATTAAAATGTCTTAAAATTAGGTTCAGTCTTTTGCTTTAAGCATCTAGTCACAGTCTAAGACTCAAATACAGTTCATAATTGCAGAATGAAAGACTTACGGCCTAATTACTAAAAATCAGCTTTCAGGGCTTGGAACACATTATCCTTTGCAGTCTATTGTGGCTAGACAAACAGTCCATGCTCATCATGACTAATTCTTTACGGATCCAAATGCATTGGCCTACCAGGAAGAAAAGGTTTATTTGTTTCTATAAGGTAAAAACTATCTAAAGCATAAACTTTACCTGCTCACCCTCAGGTACCCTTAGGCATAAGTTCTTGGGAAAATTAGGCTAACAGAGAGCAGATAAATGACATAAACGTCAGGGCATTCAACAAACTTTACTAACTACTGTGTATGAAGGAGGTGTTAGATGCTGGGAATATAAAGACAAAATAAACATTCTGCCCTCAAGAAGCTTCCATTCTATGGGGAGTAGGAATACAGTATGTACACAGATATATGATAACCTGAAAAGGAAGAGGATGTTAACAATGAAGGGGCCACGCAGGAGCTCCCAACAGAAGGTGAGACACGTGAGCTGAGCTTGGAAGAACCTACGCAGTCTAAGAAGTTGGGGTGTGGAGGGATGGCCTGCATGGTAAATGGCGCAGTGGCAAAAGATTAAATCCCAAATTTGGGGAACAGCAAGTAAGCCAATTTGGCTTCAGCATAAAGTGCATGAAGGGGAATAACACATGATTAAGCTGGAAAGGTAGGTGATTTTGATTTTGAAGGTCTAACAAACTAAGGAGTTTATATTTATCCTAGAGGCAACAGAAAATCCCTGACGATTTTTGCAGAGGGTAGTGAAATGTTCAAATGGGCATTTTAGGAATATTATTTTGGCAGCCATGTGGAGAATGAACTGAAGAGGGGAGAGACCAATTAGAAGCAAGGAGACCAATTAGAAGGCCATGGCAATAGTCTAGGAGAAAGATGATGGAGACCTGAACCAAGGCCCAAATCTGTGAAATAAGCAAAACTTGCCACTGCCATAAATTAGGGAAAGTTGCCATATTCCACGCAAAACATACATGCAGCTAACGGCTGAAGGGCCTCAGTGTGGTGTGAGCAGAGCACTGGACAGTGTAAGGAATCCTAGCCTCTAGTCCTTGTTCTGCGCTCATGGAGTGCTCCTGGGCAGGTCACCTCCCTTCTTTGAGCTCCTCTTTTCTTCTCTTCAGAATGAGAGGCTTGGATGAGATGTTCTTTAGGGTCTTTTGCACCTCTAACGTTCTAAGGTCTATGTCCTAAAAGCCTTTCTATCTGTGACATCCTACTGTTGGGTTATCTACCAACAAAAATAGGGCAGCAATTAAAGTGAAATAGGGCATTCTGGAGAATAGGTGGGTTTAATGGGGAAGATAATTAGTTCTCTCTTGGTTGGGTTGATTCGAGATGTTTATGTGACATCTAGGTGGAAATGTCCCAAAGGCAGTAGGTGGTGTGGAACTGGAGCTCAGGAGAGAGAATGGGATAGACATATAAATTTGGTAGTCTTCTCCATAGAGACAGTCATTGAACCCCCTGGAGCTGATGAGATCACCAAGAGACAGAGCAGAAAGAGAATAGAACATAGATAGAATCTTGAGAAACACACAAGACTCGGGGATGGGTTATGGAAGATGACCCAGCAAAGAAGACTAAGGAGAAGAGATCAGAGAGGTAGGAGGACAGTCAAATAGTAATCTTCCAAGGTCTCTGTACTTTCTCTTTATTGGTCTTATCCTCTCACTTTGGGATCACTTCCTCATCTGAGACAGAACAAGTCTCTGTTCAACTTTACATCTTTTTAATGGGACTTTCAAGCACAAATTTTATATAAAAGTACCACAAAGAGATCCCCATTAAGAGTTGTAGATTGGAGTGTATAAACAAGAGCAGAACTTAGAGAAGTACATGATTAATGTCCCATTACACTTAGAATTGATGACTACACCACTGTAATGAGTTTTATTTTGGAGATCTGAAAAATAATAACATACATTTATAGAGCAATTTACAGCCTTACAGAATCCGTTGTTCACAACAGCCTTGTAAGATAAGTGTATTATTATCTCCAAATATCACTCCTTGGACTATTTGAGCTAAGATCAAGCATAGCCTCAGCCCTGCTATGTTCTACTAAAGACTTTTTCTAAAGACCTTTTATTGTTTTCTAATTTTATTCATTTTATTTGTTTCACAGGTCTCCTCGTGTTATTGCCAGATAATACAGATGAAGAAAGTAAGTCTAAGAGAGGTTAAAGAGACTCTTCCAAAGCCACAGGTAGTAAGTGGCAGAAATGGGATTTCAGTCTGGGTCTCTTGACTTTAAAATTGTTCTTTCCTATATACTGCCCCGCCTATATGGTATTCTAAATATGGTATTCTATCTCTAGATACTCTATCTAGAAAACTAAAAATGGTTCTAAATCAACAAGAGATTGGAACTTTACTTCAAAGCCTTTCTGGAAGCTCCTAGCCCCTCAGACAGCTGCTAGAGTCATGCACTCATGCCATTCCCTCCTTCAGCCCCAATTAGATAGAGATGTGGTCCCATGAACTCAAAGCAGAAAAAAATGTCACAGACATATAAAGAAAGTCAAAGAAGGGGATCTCTGATCTTCAGTTGATTTGTCCCCTAGGATAGACAGGAGCATCCCACAAAGTACACCTGTCATGTCTCAGGGCACACACGCCTTTTACAATACTCAGCAAAATCCTACACTAAAGACATCCCCATAACAGCCAAGTTTCTTATTTGAAAGAAAATGTTGTTTTTTCATCATCAGAGATTGTCTCCCACATTTCCAGACCTGGTGCCATCCTTTGCGCTGAACTTTGCAAGGTGCTGTCCGTGAACCACGTCTTAGTGCTTCTTCTGTCTCTCTAAATAAAGTTCTCCTTCCGGAATCTGAAAAAATGAAAGCTACTTGGTAAGGCATGTGATTTGAGAGTTCCACATTCTAGTATTGAGCAAAAATCTAAACAGTATTAAAATCTTTCATTCTTCCCTAAGGTAAATAAAGAAGGCACTTGAATAATAAAGGTGTTCTTTACTGGGATTTTTCTGAGAGTTACATTCACCATCACTTTAAATTTTTGTATAGCATTTCACAGTTTTGCATACTTTATCTTTTTTAATCTTTATGATAATCTTGTGGAGAGAGACAGAACAGATATTAGGCCCATTTTCATCTGAGAAAACTGATGTTCAGAGATATAAGTAATTTATCTGCTCAAGACCACATAAGTGGCAGAACTATGATGATAAACTAAGCCTCCTGGTTCTCATTCCAATGTCCTTTTCACCATGTCAATGATCTCAAAGGCAAATTTCACATTTATTTTAAGTTTATGGCACTCATTATTTATACCAACATGAGCTAAATATTGCTTTCTTTTCACAAAGACTTGTGAATCTAGTACATACTTTTCTGGACAGAGACAAAGATTTTGGATATCACACTGCAGAGGACTGCGGGGGAAGGAGAATTTGCAACCCCTACACTATTATATCATACCATCCTGCTTCATCAAGTCTATTAGATGGTTAGAAGAGTAACACATATCTTTGAAAATCATTTATGTATGCATACAAAGACTCTGCTGTCTCCTCTCTGGGAATTTTCAAGTTAAAATTTCATTCATTATCTTTATTTCTTGATCTTCTAATTACTCTTCTTACTTATTCACAATCTTTATCCAAATTCCTTACATTGGATGTTTATAGAAGAGCAGAATATAGATAAAGCCTTCAGAAAGATGAAAGGGAATGGCTAAGATTGTCAGAATCTTAAGGGGAAGAAGAATCACTGGGGTCCATGAACTGTAGCTTATGAAACAACAGTTTAGAGTATGCTTTCCTAGTCCTTAATTTAAAAGAACAAAAATATAACCATAACTATTTCTAATCTAAGCTCAGGGTTCATTAACAGCATACAAATTAGTGGTGGAACACTCACTCACAAAAACAGGGGCAGTGGGATATGAGCTTCTGGGTAGCATTCCTGCTATCTTGAGGTCCCAGTCTTATCTGAATTCTAGGAAATGGAGCCACACATGTAACTGCAACCCAAGACATAGGCTTTGTCCAGAATTATATATCAATTAGGAACGGACCAAGAAGGTGGGGTGAATCAATCAATCAAATAAATCAACAAACATTTATTAAGTGCCTACTATGTGCTGTGCACTGTATTAGGTGCTGGGGACAATGAAATAATCCCTGCTTTCCAAGAGCTTACTTCCTATCAGAGGAGACAACACATACATAAAAGGCTGATGCAATATATATACTCAATAAATAAAGGGGGATTTTGGAGAGGAAGTTGCTGGCAGTTGGAGGGATCAGGAAAGGTAGAAAAGTAGAACTTAAGAGAGCAAAAGTGAGGAAGTGTTCTAGTTATGGGGGTTAGCTTGTGCGAAGGCAAACTGATGGAAGTGTTTGAGAAATAACAAGGTCAGTATGATTGGACCAGTAGGGTGCGCGAGGGGGAGCAAAGCAGAATAAGCCTGGAAAGATAGGTTGAATGCAGGTTGAGAATGGCTTTAAATACCAGACATAAGAATTTGCATTCAATTCCTGATGCAATGTGGAGGCACAGAGTTTATTGAATAAGAGAGTGACATAGACTTAGGGTTTAGGAAAATTACTTTGGCAGCTGTGTGGCGGATGGATGGGAGAAAGGAGAGACTAGAGTTTCTGAGGTTTGATGGGATAGGCAAAGCAAGGTTAGCAATCTTACAAATTCACTACTCAGGGGTGAGCAGACCCTAGAAACCTCTGAATACAATAATTATGAGTAGACTACCTAAGCATAAACATATGGATTGGCAGAATCCCTTTTATGTCAGGGGCTGAACTCATGGATTCATCAGACATATTGTTGTTCAGTTGTTTCAGTCATGTTCAATTCTTCATGATCCCATTTGGAATTTTCTTGGCAAAGACACTGGAATGATTTGGCATTTCCTTCTCCAGCTCACAGATGAGGAACTGAGGCAAACAGGGTTGAGTGTCTTGCCCAGGGTCATATAGCTAGTAAGTGTCCAAGGCCAGATTTGAACTCAGGATGGGGAATCTTCCTGCCTCCAGGCCTGGCATGCTATTCACTGTGCCAGCTAGCTGTCTCTAGTCATACTAGCTGTTTGTATTCACATGTTCCCTCTCCTCACTCTGGGGAAAGGGACCTGGTCTAAAAAGCTTACCTCAGGGATCTTATCTACCATCTAAGAAAGGAGGATGGTGTAGTGGACAAAACACTGACCTAAGTGTAAGGGAAAACTGGGTTTACTTCTCAGCTCCAACACCTACTAGCTGTGGGACTATGGGAAAATCACTAACTCTCTGTAAGCCTCAGTTTCTTCATGTGTAAAATTAAAATATAAAGATTCCTTTACTTCCACCTAATAGGCTCGTTATGGAAAATTTGCTTTGAAAACCTTAAAAGACTATAATAAAATGAATTATCATAACATGGCTCCTAAGTTTTAAAAAAAACTCCAACTTACCATGTGCTCCTTCTGCATGTGAAGCACTCCTGGGGAAATCTGGAAGAATGGCCTTTCTTGGAGAGGTTTTCAGCTCTGAATTAGCTCCATTAACATAAACAGAAAATCCTTGTTCTAAGTGCTCTAGTCTTAGTTGCATGGGGTCCTTAGTTTTCAAATGCTTTAATATCCTGGAAGAGAAATGATCATCAATACCTGAGAGGGAGACTACCCAGTAGGGCTTACAAGTCTATATTACTGTATCCACCGACAGCAAGGATGCCAGCTCATAGGCTGAATGCTAACAACTGTCTAAGTGAAGGCAATTGTGGGGCCCAGCTGTTCTTATACAAACATATTTATAAGAGGCCTATTTCACACACAGAGAAACAGCAAGAGTGAGACTATTACTGACTACTTCAATAGCATTTTCTTCCATTCTAATTTTAATTTTAATACACATTATAAAAATGAACTCTCACACTTCTCACCCCAGGGTGACTGAGATACAGGGGAGGCTATGACATATATCGTTGTCTCTCATACTAAAAATTGCTGTCTCCAGTGGAGTTATTCCTCATCCTAATGTGGCAAAAAGATCGATGTATGATGGGGCTCGCTTCCACACTGTGCACACGCACAGTCTGCTGTTTGGTTTGGAGCGGCTCTCTGTGAGGCCCCTTGTTTCTTCTTTATGTCCAATCTACTGTTTTGATGAAGACTCAGACATTCGACCTCTTAATGTGTAGCGGGAAAGTGGTCAGTTTCCAATCCTTGCTGCTTCACCCCTTCCAAGAGTGCACGGACGCATTCCTCTGTCCACTTCCTAATGGCTTTCCTTCAGTCGGCCAGTCTGCAGGTATCCTTAAATTGTGCATTGCTGTCACCCATCTAACTGAGGCAGAGAAACTGAAATGTGACGAGTACCGTTCCTGTGTTTATACAGTGACTGGCGTCACTCCTCAATTTCATTACCAGACAATGTCCTGCCATTTGATGATATGTAGCTATTAAACTACAAGTGTCTATGTAACCAATATTGGCAAAGAACTCATAGTGGGCTTGGATCCTGCTAAGGAATTAGAATATACTTTTCCAGCAACAAGGGAGGAAAATGGACTACAACATGCAAAATGGTCTGGATTAAATTGAACTTTGCTCATACAATGCTTACCAAGAAAAATAAAAATCGTCACAACAATGATACAAATAGCAATAATAACAATAAAGGGGATGTGAATAATACCTTAAGGTTTCCAAAATGCTTTATACATATTAGTATACATCCTCATTTGATGCCCAAAACTTCCCTGGCAGGTAGGCACCACAGGTATTATTATTATCCCCATTTTTACAGAAGAGGAGAATGAGGATCAGAGCAGTTAAGTAACTTGCCCAGGGCCACACAGATAATGCCAGAGGTGGGGTGCCGCCTCAAGTTCTGCTTAATCCAAGTCCAGCATTCTTTCCACTAAACCACAGTGCCTCTCCAAAGGCAAAATGCCCATGAAAATAAGGGCAGAAATATCTGGCTCCAACAGTGCTGCCCTATATTAATGAATGAATAGGCAGGTTGAATAACAAAGAGCAAATACTTGCTGTTACCCAGGGCAAAAAGGACAAGATGGGGTATCAGTCTGTATGAGAAATGAGGAGTTCTGCAGGAGGCTAGAGATTTTTAAAGAAGCCTAGAAGGGCATAGTGATGGAAGAGGGTGTAGACGGGACTGCCCCAGGAGGTTTGACTATACTTCTGCCATTTAGCATTGCTGGGGCTAAGTTGGTGGCTTACATCAGCATTTCCTTCTGGGACTGCTGTAGCCAGGGTACTTAATGAGAACATACAGAGTGAATGCTGCTGCTCTCTCTTGGAAAAAGCTGTTTGTTACATTCTGTAGGTTTGCAAAGAAATTGTGCAAGGATAGAGGGAGGAGTCAGCTGAGGCTTGTGGGTATGTCTGGGCAGCATGGATCCAGGAAGGGATAAGGAGAAGCATTAGTTAAGCTCTTATTCTGTGCCAGGCACTGGACTAACTGCTTTGCAGATATCTTTGATAAGGTAGGTAGAGCACTAAGGCATGCCCTATTTTTGTTCAGTCGTTTTTCAGTCATGTCTAACTCTTCATAACCCCATTGGAGTTTTCTTGGCAAAGATATTAGAATAGTTTGCCATTTCCTTCCCCAGCTCATTTTACAGATTAGGAAACTGAGGCAAGCAGGGTTAACTGACATGCCCAGGGTCACACACAGCTAGTTAGTGTCTTGAGGCCAGATATGAACTCGAGTCTTCCTGATTCCAGGTCCAGTGCTCTATCCACTATGCCACCCAGCTGCCTAGCATGTCCCATGTATGCATGTCTGTGTGTGTATTTATGTCTTCCCATATTTGGCTCCTAGGCTCATAGATTTAGAGCTAGAAGGCACCTTCAACACCTTCATTTTTACAGATGAGAAAAGTGAGGCACAGAGAAGCTAAGTGACTCACCCAAGGTCACACAGGTAAAAATGCCCAGAGATGGCATTAGAACTCAAGTCCCATTAAACTGTGGGTTGTGAACCCACACGGGGAGGTGGGGGGGAGTCAGAAGCACTGAAGGGGTTCTGAGTGAAAAAAGTTTAAGAAGCCCTGTTCTAGACTCCACAGTCACTGCTGCTCCTTCTACTGTTCTAGGCTACCTTCCAGAGCTCCCAGGCTGCCCTCCTTTTGGGTACAGTAGAATGTAAGTTCCTTGGGGGCAGGGATTGTCATTACATTCTCAGCAGCTAGCAGAGTGGCACAGTAGGTTTGCTTTATTTTGTAGGCTTTTTGTTTTTTAATCTTTCACAGATTATTTTTTTGTTTTTACAGCACTTTAATCTCCCAATTTCCCTCCTCCATCTAGAAAGCCATCCTTTTTAACAAAGATGACAAAAACTAAAACTAGTTCAGCAAAACTAACCAATACATCAACCAGAACCAATAGTAGATGCACTATTCCACACCCATACCCCCGAAGCACCATATTCTCCGCTTGTTCACCCCCAAAATAAGGGAGGCATATTTTCCTACTTTTTCTACAGTGTTCTGTTCCAATGGTTTTTTTTTGTTCTTTCCATTTACATTGTTGGAGTCATATGTATATTGTTTTCTTCTATCTTTTTACTTTACTTTTAGTTCCTATAAAGGCTTATTTCCTTCTATTTTTCTCAATATTCTTTGCATACATTATATTTTATTGTGCAATAATATTTCACTATATTGATGTATCCTAATTTGCTTAGCTATTCCTCAAATATTGGACACCTACTTTGTTTCCAATTCTTTGCTACTAAAAAAAGTGCTACTACAAATATTTTGTGTGGGATATTTCTTTCTATCTTTGACTTCCTTAATGTATACACCTAGCAGTGGGTCAAAGGTACAGACATGTTATCATTTTTTTGCATAATTTTGAATTATTTTCCAGAATAGCTGAATCAATTCATATGTCCACTAATTGTATGTTAATGTGCCTGTCTTTCCACAACCCCTTCAACATTGACTATTCCCATCTTTTGTTATCTTTGATAATTTGCCAAGTGCAACTCTAAGATTTTCTTCTGTATAACCGGTTCTTAACATAGACATGTTTAATTTAATCAAACTGAATAGCATCAGGGATGGTTCAGGATGGTTGTGATGTCAGTATTACTGAGGTACTGTGTCCAACTGCTAGGTCCCCGAGAACATTCTCTATAAGCCACTCTTTGATTTGTGGAATGCCTGAGGAAGCAGCAGTAAGACTAAGAATTTGAAAAATTGTGTGAAAGATGTGTTAAGAGTCAGTTTATCATGGGGTAGGTCACACAGCACAATAATGAACAATAGATCAAATATCTGACTTACAAACTAGAGCTAATGGTACAAATGGCTGACTAGAATGAAGAAAATCTACTTGTATGAACTGATGGTCCAGTTATTTGGACAGAAATAGAAGGGGTAAAGATGGGGATGTTGTTTCTAGTGTTTAGGCTCACGTCATGCTAAGTGATGACAAATCTGAATGAAGGAAGAAAAGAAGGAATGAATGAATGAAATTATGAATTAAAGTTTTTCAGAGATAGAACCTGGTCTAGATAAAAGTATTTTACTTTGAGAAAACTGATATGCGAAACCAATGTATGAAAAACTAAATTTACAAATTGATAAGTTTGGAGGTAACTGTGCTAAAGATTTTCTTTAAATAGAAACTCTGTTAGCACACTTAATTAGTCATAAACTACATAAAATATAACAAATTTCATGTTGAGTCATGTCAGTATTCCACCAAGTCTAGAATCATGCTTCTGATAGAAATATCCAGAACAGTTGCTAGCTCTCCATAGTTGGACATATTTTCTAACCAAACCAAACAAAACAAAACAAAAAAAACTCCTTCTATAATTAGTTAATATTTTTAATTTAATTGTAACTTTTTCAACTATTTTGTTTTCTGTCTGTATAATTTATTAGATTAATGATTTTCAAATTTATGTAAAATAGAATTTCTTCAAATTTAGGGTTATGCCTTAGTTGTAGTGTTCTGAAATCTGCATACCAAGTCCACACTCATCCTGTGCATATTCTTCATGATTTATAGATTCCAATTACATAGACTCTCAGACAACATCATTTTTAACATGTCAATCTATTTCACATTCCTTTTCTAATCCCTTTGAAGCAGCTTAGTATATGAAAGAGTAGTGGATGTGTAGTCAGAAGACTAGGGTTCAGACTTGGCTACATTTCATATAATGTCCATGTCATATATGCACCAATCAAAGAAAATGGGTGTGTTTAGCTAGGAAAACATAAGACTTAGGAGACAGATGATAGCTGTCTTCAAGGAAGGTCATGTGGAAGAAGAATTACTCTTACTCTGTTTGGCACCATAGGGCACAACCAGGATCAATGAGCAGAAGGCACAAAGGAGTAGATTTAAATTTTACTTCAGGAAAAATTCACAAAAATTAGCATTATCCAAAAGCAGGACTTCCTGGGAGGTTGTGCGTTCCTCCACAATGGAGGTCTTCAAGCAGAGGATGAGTGACTACTTGTTGAGTATGGTATAGGAGGATTTCTTTAAGGTCCTCAATTGAGATCTCTTTCAACTCTTAAATTCTGATTTTGTGATTTCTGGCCATGAGAAAGTCACTTTGAGCCTCAGTTTGGAGTTCCCTCACTATCCTGATGGCCATCCTCTGGACATAATCGAATCGTTGAAACAATATTCCAAATATGGTCTTACTAGAGCATTGCAGAGTGGGCCTCTATTAGAAAGGGATATTCCTGATCATAGTGCTAGAGTGGGGAGGGGTCTCAGAAGTCATCGTGTTCAACTACCCTGCTTTTCAGATGAGGACGCTTGCGCCCAGAGAGGTTAAGAAACTGAGGTCATAAGCTAATTAGTAAGAGCCTGTACTAGAACCTGGCTTTCCAGTGTACTTTACATTAGCCTGGTCAACACTAAATTGGCTCTATTCCAGTTTTAAATAGCCACAAGATGTTAAAAATTATGTAGAATAGCTGTGTTCCTGCAGAAGCTATCCTAATGATACAAGAGGTGATCTTAAGTTTTTCCTGACTAGAATCACTTATACAGTCACATGGCCTCTTGTTGTGAGAAGCCCAAGGAATCAGCAGCAGGCCCATTTCAATAACAGGACGCTGACTATTCCATCTAAGAGCAAACAACAGCGAGCTTGAAATTAACAAAAAAATTCTAATACTGATAAGACTTCTTTAATAATAAAACTTCTTTCAAACTAGACAATGCTGTTTTGAATCCAGTCACTTTCCTGTCTTCTATCACATCTGCTTTAACCAAATTTCAAAAGTTTTACATATGTTAGTATATAAAATGATTTGTAACTATAAAGTACTTATTATTGTGAACTGTTATTATTTCTACTATTATAATGAGACAGATTTCATCCCAGGCACTTCGAATTAACTCAACCTCCTTTAAAATGAATGAAAAATGAATTAATCTTTACACAAAAAGAATGTTTGCAATTTCTACTTCAAAGTACTCTCCCAACTTGGTATGTAATGACAGGCTAACAAGGATTTGTATAACCATTCAACAAACTTTTATTAAGCATCTACTAAGTGCAAATACCATATAAAAGTTGCTGGGGGAAAAAGACACAAAAATAAGTAAGAGATAAACCCTCAAAGATCTTACAAATGAGTAGGTAAGTTAATAAGACAAAATAAAATATGGTAAGTGCATAAGAGGAATACAAAGATCGGCAACTGAGGGAGAAATCATTTCTTCTTTGGAGTGGGGAGGCAGGTCATGAGAATCAGATTTTTTTACTGCTCTATGAATTCTAGTTTTGTTATTTAATAATTAGATAGAGAAGACCTAGAAGGCTGATCCTACAAATTGTACTCCCACACATGTGCTGTCAAAATATGTCTTTTTACAAACACAAAAACCAGCAGTGAAGCAAGAAGAGGCTAAACAGTTTGTTAAAACTCAAATGTGCCAATCAATGAATTGGAGGAGGAACTGAAGCTTAGATAGTAAAAGCTGAATTCTAAATCCATGAGTAAAAAATGTAATCTGCAACACTTTCTTCCAAAATACTACCTACTTGTAAAAAATAATACATGCTTTCCAGTAAGGTGCCACCAGTAAGGACTATTAGTGACTATATCTTACCGATTTCTCTGCTGAAGCAGTATTAAATACTCATCATGTTTTTCATCAAAGTCCGTCACCATGTCTTTAGTATAACCCTGAAATGGAAAAAAAAAAAAAAAGGATGTTTGTTATAGAAGAGCATTACTAACAGAAAGGTCACGTGCCTGATGTAAACACTGAAGGTGCTTTTGATGAAAGCACAAGTCCCTGAACACATAGCTGGAAAACATTCTACAGCAAACAATATTGACCCAAATCCCATGAGAAAGTCTAGTGATTTAATGGGTCTTTTCTGGGTCTAATATTTTTTGCTCTCTGAAAAGGATTATATCCTTTAGTCTCCCTATTGTTGTAAATTCCAAGTATCTTTAAAATCAAGTATCCTGAAAATATTCAGACTTTTTCTATCACTTTCTCAATAGCAGTTATGTACTTATCTCAATAGTCATAGTCAGAGCTAAATCTTACCAAGGAATGGAATATAGACAGTGATTATATCAGCTCAATAACTTTGCAATCTATGACAAGTTAAGGAGAACAATTTTAAACAAAATATCAAAACAAGCTATCTACAACAAAACAAGAATTTAAGTGAAAAGCATGATTTCCAAGAGGAGTGGCCAGAGGAAAAGAAAAAGAAAATGTTATCAATCATTCTCCTACTAGAGATGTAGTGTGGCATAATGGATGGAGGGCTGACTTTGAAACCAAAAAGACTTAAGTTCAAATCGTACACCTAACATATGTTGACTGTGTAACCTTGCAGAAGTCACTTAACTTTTCAGTGCCAGCCACTTGCATGAAACTCAAAAAGAAAGGAATCCCTGCCAGTCACAAATTAATTTAGAAAACCACAAATTAACATTATTTATGTTGTGTTGTATTTTTATTTATTTGTTAAATGTTTTGCAATTTTATTTTAATCTGACCCCTGTCACCCAAGGGAGTTTGGCAGCCTGAAGTTTGACACCTCTGCAAAGGGGCACAGAAGGTGCCAACCTGCATTTGTAGAAGGAGCTTCCTCTTTAGGACTAAATTCCTTAAGCCAATGAAATCACAGGTCTGTAATCTGTTTCAACATATTCCTGAAATGGCTCTCTCACCAGTCACCAATCACCATTCTAGTCAAACCCAGTATCCTTTCTGTGTCCCTATTCACCTCAATTTCTCTATCAACTATTTTCTGCAACTTAGTCTTTTTTTAAAAATATGTTCCAATTACATGTAAAAAACAATTTTTAACATTAATTTCTTCAAATTTTGAGTTCTAAATTCTCTCTCTCCTTCTCTCCCTCCTCATTGAGAAGACAGACAATTTGATGTAGCTTATACATGGGCAGTTACGCAAAACATATTTCCATATTAGTCATGTGGAAGAAAACATAGACAAAAAACCATTAAAAAAGTAAAAAATAGTATGCTTTGATGTCTATTTACACTCCATCAGTTCTTTCTCTGGATGTGGATACCATTTTTCATCATGAGTCCTTTGGAATTATCTTGGATCTTTGTATTGCCAAGAACAGCTAAGTCATTCACAGTTGATCACGTGATGTGCAACTTGGAGTCTTAAAGGGCTTTCTGGAGGACAGTTAATTATCCTTAGTATTTCTCAAAACCCTCTCTGCCCTTAGTTTCTAGGATAAAGGAATAAACTGGCTTTCCTCCTCTCTTTCTGACTATTCCTTCTCTATTTCCTCTTGCTTTCTTTATTATGAACTTGTTTCAGTTCTGTCTCTCTCTGTGACCCCATCTGGAATTTTCTTTGGCAAAGACACTGGAGTGGTTTGCCATTTCCTTCTCTAGCACATTTTACAGATGAGGAAACTGAGGCAAACAGGGTTAAGTGACTTGCCAAGGGAAACAACAAGGAAGTGTTTGAGGCTGAATTTGAACTCAGGTCTTCTTCCTGACTTCAGGCCCAGTACTCTATCCACCATGCTATCTAACTGCCCTTAGGAATCCTTCTAACCATAGTTAAAATGGTGATCTTCTAGTCTTGCCTATCTAGGACCTTCCATTCTCATGGATTCAGCCATCATTTCTATGCAAATGACTTCTAAATTTCCATCTTGAGTTGTCTACTGGAAACTCTACCTTCACCTGAAACTTAATAAGCCCAAAAGTGAACTTGGCATCTTTCCCCTAAACGGTTTTCCAACCTTACATTTACTATTTTTGTCAGCAATAGTGCCATTCTCATAGTCTGTAGAGCTAGGAACCTTGGAATCATCTTTAACCCTTTCCTCTCCTTTACCCCTTATAGCCAGTACCATTGAGTCTTATAAATTTTTTTTCCTTTGGGAATGTCTCTCATATTTTTGTCTTCCCTTGGCTTCCTACTGTCATCCTGTCGAGGCTCCTACTTCCTCATAACTGAATCACTGCACTAGTCTCTCCTACTTAGGCTCCCTGCTTCCAAATTGATCTTGCCAAACACTGTCAGCTGAATCTTCTAAGAGTAAGAATAGTGAAAAGATGCTGCCCACCTCCTGACAGAGAGGGATGGACTAAACCAAGCAGAATGAGACATATATTTTTGGATATGGCCAATGTGGGATTTTGTTTTGTTTGACTTTGCAAAAGGTCACAAGAGTTTTTTGATTTTCTTCTTTGACTTGATTCCCCATGGGGTGGGAAATGTGAATGGAGGGGCATCTAGGTGGTGCAATGGATACAGCACTGGCCCTGGAGTCAGGAGGACCTGAGTTCAAATCTGGCCTCAGACACTTAACACTAGCTGCAAGACCCTAGGCAAGTCACTTAACCCCAATTGCCTCACCCAAAAAAAAAATGTGAATAGGGAAAAAATTTAATAATTGAAAAAAATAATTTATAAAATAATAGTGTTTTCAATAGGTCATATCTCTGTTGTAACCTGCAATGGTTGGAATACATTCCATATTCAAACCAATTTAAACTGATCTCTGCTCTCTGTACTTAGCCTGCTCTACTTATGGTTTTGTTGATGCCATAGCTCATGCTTGGAATGGACTCCTTCCCTCCAGCCATCTCCATCTAATGACATCTATTTCTTCCTTTAAGACTAAACTTCGATGTGTTCTGCCCTACAAAATATTCCCTGATATCAGTAGGTGTCCTCACACTTTGCCTGGACTTCTTTGTATTAATCACATTTTTGCTCTTAGATATGGCCCAATACATGCTGTCTCTCTTTTTGCTCGAGAACCATTGATGGTTCCTGGATAATGCCTCAGGATAGGGAACAAACCGGTCAGCTTGCCACTAAAAGTCCTTCCTGATTTCATTCCAGACTTGCTTTCCAGGCTTACTTTACACCTCTTCCTTTCACATACTCCATATCCCAAATATACTGCTCTTCTTTCATTTCCTCACACTCAGAATCCCATCTCTTGCCTGCCTTACTCTGCATTTGCTATTCCCTATCCCTGGAGAACACTCCCCCCTTAATGTCACCTCTTGTAATCCCTGACTTCCTTCAAGGTTCAGCTTACATGCCATTTCCTGTGTAATCCTGGGGATCCCCACAGCAATAGTGATGTTCTCTCCTTCCACAAATAATCATTTATATACTTATGCTTACATGTTGCATATGTGTTATACTGCAGATTTTAAGCTTCCTGAGGGCAGGGTCTGATTTTTGTTTTATCTTTGCCTTCCTGGTGCCTGGCACAGTACTTTGCACATAGCATAGTAGGAATTTTAAGTAATTGATGCATTTGTATATTCATCCTTCCCAACAAGTTGTAAGCTCCTTCAGAGATGGGTCAGTATTGTATTTATTTTTGTATCCCTAGCACAATGACTTGCACATAGAAGACACTTAATAAATATTTACTAAATTCAGTGACCTTCTATTACCTATCACATCAAGTTAGGGCCTGTATAATCTGATGTTACCTGACTGTCCAATGTCATTGCCCTTTTTAAGACCAATATTCACCCTTTACTACAGTAAGCCCAATTCCAAACACTTCAATGGATCCTTCACTTCAAAAAGAATGACCTTTTCACAGTTCTCTCTCCATAAAACACTGATTTCCTCCTTTTAGCTTTTGCACATACCATTTCCCTGGATTGGTGTGTGTTTTCTCTACATTTTCACCTAATTTAAATCTGACCCATCTTTCAAAGCTCAAGTCAACTCCCATCTCTTCGATGAAGCTTCTTCTGACTGTTCTAGTCAACATTCCAATCCTTTCTCTGAAGCCTATACTCTATTAGATAAGTGATTTCATCAATGTGGATACTTGCTCCAATGGTACAAATCACAAACCATTTATGTCTAGTTCATCCTATGTGGCTCTCAACTATTTCCTCTCATAAATTCATCACTGAAGATTCATTCAACATGCTGGGAAGCCTTTCTCATTTGAGCATGCAGGTATTTCTTGCTCTTACTATGTAGTAGATCTATCTGTTGTTCAAGGAATACATTTTTGTGACATCTTCTATGTCACTTCTTCTGCATATTTTCTCAGTTAAAATGAATTTTAGGTTATTCATGCCCACCATGTCCCTCTCCATTGCCATTTGGGTTTTTATCAACTTCAATTTCCAGAGACAAAAATGTTCCAGGATTTGCAGCCATATAACATCACCAGAAGAAGATTGGTTTTTAAAAGGTAAGGAGTAGAAAGGGGAAAGAAGGAGCTTTGTCTCAAAGAGAAGTTTTGGTAACATATTTAAAAATGCTTAACAAAGTCCTTTATATTCATTTCTAGGCAGAATTTTTAGAATTCCTAAATAGAGTTAATTGACTAGCAAGGCAAGATCTATTCTTAAAAGTAGCAGAGAAAGTACCATTTCCCTGGAGCACGTAACTGCCAACCACCTAACCTTTGCTGGCAACATGGCCTATATCTGACTAAAAAAAATTCTCAGTGGATAAAATTCAGTAAACTGAAAGGTCCTTCTATTCCAAATATAGATAATTTGATTCCCAAGTACAGCAATGCCTCATTTACCTAGCATCTTTGGGGTATAAGCTGTTTCACAGAAGTAAATGTTCCAGATTCCTGAAGTGTTCTCCTCCACAAGTACCAATGTTTAATGAAAAAAAAAATTTAACCATGTGTTCCAAAATAGAGTATGACCTTTTCTTGATGACTTA